ATATAAAGCTTGATATTACTTGTTATTCAATTCGATACTTGATGATATGTTGACCTTGTTGTTTGACTGAATCTGACGTTGGTTGTAAGTCTTTCTGACTGCAAATAACTGTTTGGTGTTTTTGTTCGCATGCTGTTGTCCATTCGATGTTTGGTTTGTTATTTGTAGTTTCACTAATTTGTGTTTCACTAATCTTTATGAATGTATCACCAACAAGTTATTAATCTGGAAGTGGAAACATATATTGATGTTAAACTTAACTTAAACTAGCATCCCTTGTCAACTTTTAAAAAAGTTTTTAAAGTTTTACGTCACATTTTAAACATAAGCATTTGCTGAAATGTTCATGTGACGATCGAACTTTTTAAATTTTATTCTTAAAACCTTTCAGTTCACAAAGTTCATGTTTAAACGATCTAGGCAAAAATGCAAGCAATGACTGCCTGTTAGTTCAAAACAAAAAAGTTAGTCACGGCACGCAGCAGGTCATTTGACACTGGAGATGATTAGTTTCTATTAAAAAACTGATTACTGACTCACAATAATTACTTTTAAGTCTTCAATGTTCAAATGTTGACCAGCATTAAAGTTAAGTAGTCGCATTTCGAACTATTGTGAACATTTATGAATTTTAAAAATTTTGTTTAAACTTGGCAACTATGATGAAATGATGATGTTTATAATGTTTATGCATTTCTTTTGAGATAAATTTTTATACTTTTGAAATTTTTCAGCTAGAATTAATATATACAAAAGTATTCCATTATAGAGGTAATGTTAATAAAAATAGTCTTATAAAAAATATTTCAAATCGATATGCAAGAATATAGTTTTGATAAGCAAAAAATTGAACGCACAAATAATATGACAAAACACATTGCTGAGAATGACACACGCCTGAAGTACTGATCCATTGAAGGTACCCTCACCAATTTTTCATCATCTCATCTTCTCTTCTCAAATGTCTGAAAGTAGGTGGATAGGTTTGATGGTGCACGAGCAGCTGCTTTATGGACCTTCATCCTCCCCCTCGATGTAATCTCATCAATGCATTCATTCATTTCTTCTTTTGTGGAGAGAGCTATATCATTTGTGCCGATTGAATAAATATGCATATATACGTATATATAACACGTTTTTTTTTACAAGTTATATCATATACACGGTATATAAAATGTAATAAACAAATGCATTAATAATGATTACTTCTTTTATATGAGGACAAATCAATAACAGTCAGCTTCCTAAGTTGGCAGGTTCAATTTGAAATGAATGCTTTCTTCTCTACATCATCGCTAACTATTCATTCTGTTAAAAAGAAGCCAGTTCAAGAAAGAACTGTAATTAAGTATTTGATGACTTTTTCCGAGTAGATACTGACGAAGTATATGTTTGTTCACTGGTGTTCATGCATTTGTATGGACAATATTTTACAAATGGGTTAATTCTGTACTGCATTTTACACATTTTAGCAAATGCATTTAATTTTTTTAACGAGATTTTAAAAAATAAACTTATTTAAAAAATGATCTTCTTAGGAATCAGAACTATAGATCAAATCACTTCTGGTTAAATAAACCTGCCAACTAGTTGTTTTACAAACGTTAAACTAAATAAATAAATAGATACGTGGCTAAGAAAGCACTAAATTATCAGTAAACTTAAAACTCCATTTATTAAGTGAAGGTATACACATATACCGACATAAAAAATATTTCCTGAAGGTTTTAAGTACTCAGTCATGAGACACCTTTACGCAAGCATGGCGTCTCACACAAACACCACATCAAAATCACAGCAACAACATACAAACAACATACAAACCCCGAAAAAATACAAAAACAAGCAACCAATAAAAATAAAAACAACATGACACATGATCACAAAAACAACATCCAGACTAATTAATGTGCACATACGACGGCAGCCTCACATGTTGTTATGTGTCTCTATTGTGTGCAACAATCTGACAGAACCAACCTGCTATGATACAAACAAATATGAAAAATGGGAATGTCGCAACAATTATGTCGCACAAAAAATATGTACAGAAAGCACACAAATGAGCAAAAATAGCACTTATCTGTCTGTGGAAGTTTTTGTTGGATCTTGGTAGTTTGCCAAATTAAGACATTAATAAGTTGTGGAGTTAACCATTATATTGTGGATACCTATAGACAAATAACATGGTCAAAGTTATTTGATTTGATTTTTTATTAATTGTGCGTCTATTCATTTTGAAGACTGTAGCTGGATGTCGGTCAAAAAAGAAATCATGGCATTGCTTGGAAGCTCTCCTCGCTGTACATGTTCACGGCTGCTGATTGCAACATTTTGGACATGCATGGTGCGACTTCAACTAATTATTTGTTCACAATAGTTGGAATTAATAAACCACCAGGAGTGAAATAGCAGGGAGACATCCACACATCTTGAAACGACGAGTGACGGACCACCATCCAACTACAAACATTCAATTTGATTCCAATGCTGTGGAATGCAACACGTCATTACGTGAGCACAAGATGACCAGATGCACACTTCTTGTAACGAACGTACGTGATAAAAAAACTTATCACTTATTAACAAACACAATAAAGAATGTAACGACAAACACGTTTGTTTTAAGTTTAGCAACATAAGCAGAAAATATGAAAGTCAACAAATGCTGAACCAATTATCATATTAAAAACGAAATCTACTCTGAAAAAATGATTGAACTTTCATGCAACCATTAGTTGTAACCTAACACCCTACAAAAATAATGGGAGCTATGAATTTGTGAGGATATCTTGCTGGGGTGTCACGTTGTGATGCACAAAGTAGAACTGTGATGTGTGTTCCTCGTGACACTGAAAGGACATTGATTTAATAAACGATACCGGTGTATAACCTGCAAGTCACAATAGGAACTGGTCACTCACTGGTTGACTGGCTGGCTGGACAGGCGACAGACAAGAAATAAAAATTTATTAAGATCACACGCACAGGTGTATTTTTTTGAGGATGACACGAATCTTTTAAACCCGTCATGCGATTCAAATTAGAATGACTTCATAATAAATGGAGATTTACAACAATTCCACAATTGGTTCAAAACGAATAGGTTAACAGTCAGCACTGGCAAATGTGCCACGCTATATTTGGTGTGAAAATGGTGACAAAAAGGATAGGTTTTTACCTGTGCTTCAACAATAATGTTATGGCCTAGTTGATGCGGTACTTGTTTTTTATCCAACCACCAAAATCTTTTACCATTTAATAGAGTCACATTTTATAATGTTAATTAAGTCATTATGAGGGTCACATTTTTTGAAATCACATTTTATAAAAAAAAAATTGAAAAGCTAAGACAATAATCATCCTGGTGGGTCAGGGTTAATTATTTTGAAAAATTTCTTGGTGGTCAAATTAGCAGCATATACCGTTGATGCAATTAAATTTCTAATTATTCACATATTGAGAAATTTATCTTTGGCTAGCTACATATACACTAATATCCACGTAATTTTGAAGACGTACACTTTTTCTATTTACTTATTTTCTTTATTCATTTATTTTAGAGAAATGGTTTGGGCATACCCCTTGCCAACAGTTAAAATGATCGTAGTCTCGAATAATTCAGAACCATCATAGCAAAGTTCAAACTTAAATCGATAAAGTTCTTATCTAGTAAAAAACGTTCAAATTAAATTAATAACAAAAGACATTCAAATAAGCATAAAATTTCAAATCTGTGAAAAATTATTCGAATTTAAAACGAAAAATAGTTCAAATGATAAATTCAAATTAAAATTCAACAAAATCAAACTATGTCAAACATTTTGTCACCATAGTAAGAATATATCCTTATTTATCTTATGGTGCTTTAATTTGGGACGACGGCCCAGCACATTTAATTAACCAAATTTTTTTAACGCCAAAAATTATAAGATTATTATTCAATTTGGAATACAATTTCCGTGAGCAATACATTTAGTTCAGCAGTTCAGCAAGTTTTAAACAATGATACATATATTTCTCTGCGATTTTTATCCTTTAAATATATTAATGACTTGTTACCCTCTTTGCACGTAAGTCTATTTCATTGTGGGCTTAGAATTTGGAACGAAATAATTCATAGTGACATTAAAATTATTTTAAATTTATCACATTTTAAAAAATACTTAAAAAACTTTATTTGGAAACATCATTTTTTTATTTTTGATTTATCAGATTGTTAATAGTGTCCATAGTTATATATTTTTAAAATAAATCCTCAAATTTGTATCATAAATTTCTGAATATTTTTAACAATTTCTATCTAATATGTCTTGTTTTTAAGGTTTTGAATTTTTGTTTATTTAGAAGTCTCATCTTGTCATTAGTTCATTTTACATTTTGGGTGGCTGTACTTGATTGCATTTTACGGTCAAAAAACACCATTGTAAAAAGTTGCAATTTATCGTTTGGTGTTTGCGCAGCGTCTGACCAAAGTACGTTGTTATTGTTTGCATGGCTAATTTTATTTTTCCTTGTTTCAAAGTTACAAACGCGTGAATTACTGCTGGGGACAGTTGTATACAAAGTGTGGACTGTCCATTTTTGTCCAGTTCTGTTTCTTACGGACATGTGCGTCCTGAAACGACAGCAGTAACTTGTTCCTGTTCATTAACTTGTTCAATTTTTTGTTATTTTAACGCTATTAATTTTAATAATATTTAAATATTA